GCGCAAATTCCTCCCAGCTCTGCCTGGGATAAGTAATTGTCCTACCTGCTCTGCCACCTCTCCAGGATGCCCAGCATTGCAAAAATAAGCCGCGTTTTCGCAAGCCAGCATCGGCAGCACAGCCACAGAAAGTGAGGAGTGGAGGGAATCTTCCTATCTTTCTTCCTTCCTTCCACCATTCTTCCTTTCCCCCTTCTTTCTTTCTTTCTTTCTTTCTTTCTTTCTTTCTTTCTTTCTTTCTTTCTTTCTTTCTTTCTCTTTCCCAGAAAGCCCCCTTCCTTCTAGCACTGATGACATTACCTAGTTGGGTCATGAAACGTCTGCAGGAAAACCACTCAGCTCAGAGAGCATTGAGAACCCCATAGTCTCCTCCTCCTCCTCCTCCTCCTCCCTCCCTCCCTCCTTCCCTCCTAGCACTGATGATGTTACCTAGTTTGAGTCATGAAACATCTGCAAGAAAACATCCCAGCTCAGAAAGCACCAAGGACCCCTCAGTCAATGTCCTCCTCCTCCTCCTCCTTTCCACAACCCCCCCCCTTTCTAGCCTTGATGATGTTCCCTAGTTGGGTCATGAAACGTCTGCAAGAAAAGAGCCCAGCTCAGAGAGCACTGAGGACCCTACAACCCTTTTCTTCTTCCTCCTCCTCCTCCTCTTCCCTCTCCTCTCCACAACCCCCCCTCCCTTCTAGCCCTGGTGATGTTCCCTAGTTCAAGGCTTTTCAACCAGTGGCACAGGTACCCCCTGTGGTCCATTGGCACCTGGCAAGTGGTACGCGACCATCCTAGAAAAGTGGTAGCAGGGGAGGGGAATGAGCTGAACCGGTGGCAGAACCGCACAAGCCTGAGCGAGAGACGGCTGGAGCTGCAGGGCTGTCAGGGCTCAGCGGAAGCGCCAGGATCAGTGCCAGGATCCAGCTGGAGCTCAGCGCTGATCCTGGTGCTTCTGCTGAGCCCAGAAGAAGTGCCGATCGGCTGGAGTGTTGCAGCATCTCCAGGGTCTTCTGATTTACATTCAGATCCTTGGCAGCTGATTCATACTTATGACGGTCACAGTGTCCCAGGGTCATGTGAAGTGACCAAAACCTGCTGCAACCACCCAGCAGACGGAGGGGGGGGATAAAAACCAAACCCCCCCACCCCACCCCCGCTGCCAATCCTCAACAGAAATGCTCACAACAATGAAAACCTTGGACAGGAGGAAGAGTGTGGCCAGGTGGGCAGGCAGGTGTCTTGCTCGGCTGTGGCTTGGGGGGCACTTTTTTCAGTGCCATTGTAACTTCCAACAGTCAATAAGCAAACTGTTGTAAGTCGAGGACTACCTGTACTTCATCACTTTTTTCCTTTTTTTTTTTTTGACACCTTGCTAGGCGACTGGTGGTCCTCGGATGTTGCCATATCCTAAAAGTGGTACAATGGGTGAAAAGGTTGAAAAACCCTGGACTAGTTGTGTCATGAAACGTCTGCAAGAAAACCACCCAGCTCAGAGAGGACCGAGGACCCCACAATCTTCTTCCTCCTCCTCCTTCTCCCCTCCTCCCACTAGTTTTTTCTTAGCCAAATACCCTGCCCCCCCATTTGCCTTTCCTGGCAGAGGTTGGGAGGGGGGCAGAATGAGGCCTTCCCACAACTCCAGAGTTGGGGTGCACCAACCGATCCTGGAATTGGGCAGAAGCAGAGACGGGTCTTAGCAACAGCCGGGGAGGGGTTGGGGGGTGTGTGATGTTCTACTAGGACCACCTGCAAGGGTGTTTTCCCTAATGGGGGGCTCTGGGGGTTTGTGTGTGGCTGTGGCCAACTAATGCCACCCCAACCTCTGGGGACCCTTCCCCATTGCATTCCCCATGAAGGTTCTCCATCATCCATCCAGGCAGAGATCCCCGAAGCTTGTCTGAAGGTCTAAGAATTAGTCAAGTTGCAATGATACAACCTTCAGAATTGATTCAGAATCAGAATCGAGCTGGAAGGGACCTTGGAGGTCATCTAGTCCAACCCTCTGCTCAGGCAAGAGACCCTAGGGCAAGGGTGGGGAACCTTGGCTCTTTTATGACTTGCAGACTTCAACTCCCAGAATTCCTGAGCCAGCCATGCTGAGGGGATAGGGAGAGGTTTTCAAGCTGAGCCATGCTGGCTCAGGAATTCTGGGAGTTGAAGTCCACCAGTCATGAAGGGGCCATAGTTCCCCCATGCTGGCTCAGGAATTCTGGGAGCTGAAGTCCACGAGTCATGAAGGGAGCCATAGTTCCCCCATGCTGGCTCAGGAATTCTGGGAGTTGGTCCACGAGTCATAAAAGAGCCAAGGTTCCCCACCCCTGCCCTATACCATTTCGGACAAATGGCTGTCCAGTTTCTTCTTAAAAACTTCCAGTGTTGGAGCATTCACCGCTTCTGGAGGCAGGTAGTTCCATTGGTTAATTGTTCTCCCTGTCAGGAAGTTTCTCCTTAGTTCTAGGTTGCTTCTCTCCTTGGTCAGTTTCCACCCGTTGCTTCTTGTCCTGCATTCAGGTGCTTTGGAGAGTAGCTTGACTCCCTCTTCTTTGGGGCAGCCCCTCAAAATACTGGAAGATGCTATCGTGTCCCCCCCTCGTCCTTCTCTTCATTAAACTAGATATACCCAATTCCAGCAACCGTCATTCTTGCGTGTTCGCCATCTCTGCCTGGATGACCGAGAACCTTAATGGACGTTTCCCAGGGGGGCTTAAGAATGACCCACAGCCAGGCTGTGACTGTCATCTCACAAGAGTTGGACGTTGGCATCCTCAAATATTGACAAGGCCTCCCGCAAGAGGCTGCCAGCCCTGATCTTTGAGGTGGGCACAGGGCTTCTTTTGCCCAACTGAGGGTTTCTTAGTGTCCCCCCCCCAATAAAGTGGCAGCCAGGAGGCCCTCGGCCCTTCCCCTCTTGGGGTCCCCCCCATTCACAGGTTGCCTCTGTCTAGGAACAAAGCTCAGGTAATGCGCGCGTGGAGAGCCCTTTTTCAGGTCATACGATGTCATACAACCACACACACACACACACACATCATGGGTGTCTGCAGATATGGTGAAAAAAAACATCACGCTTTGGGGGTGCAGTCAAAGCCAGGCGTGCTTTTTACGCCCGTTGGGTTTGATCTCATCGCGGTGCCCACCAAATGGACTTTTTACATCACACCCTGCGAAAACCCAACACGCTCCCCAAAGGAACGCAACAACGCAGCAGGGCACAAACTAAAGCATCCCACCACACACACACACACACACACCTGCCCTGGCAAAGCAGCTCTTTCAGGAACCTGGAGGGGCAGTGAAGAGCTGCTCCCCCCTGCCCACTTTGGAAGACCCTTCCCCAGATGCAGGTGGCTTAGGGAGGTGAACCCCGCCTCTTTCTCTAAAAAAGGTGCCCCCCCAATCCCTCCCCAGGCATTAGAGGAAGCAGAGATGGATGCCCAGAGAGCACAGGGCAGTTATTTGGGGGGTCCCCAAGGGTCCGTGGGGAGGGAAAGTCCAAGGACAAGCGTTGGAGGAAGCATGTCTTCTATTCAGCCCCCCCACACACATCAAACATGGTTTCATGAGTCCTTTTGCAGCAGCAGACCCCCCCTCCCCTTTTCCCATGGAGAGGGCAAAGTGGGAGACCCTCCCAACAGTCTCCGGCACCCCCACCCTGCCCTCGGTCACCCCTGGAGAAGGACTAGGCGAGCAAAAACGGCGAGCAAAAGAAATGGGTCTGGGGTCTTTGCCCAAGGACATTCCGAGCTGGGAATGAGGGGGGGGTCATCCCGGAGTTCCCACGACTCCTGCTGATCTCCAGCACCCCATTCTTAGAGGGGGGAGGGGGGAGTAGAATGCCTACCAAAACGACTGTTCCCCCCAAGCGAGGGAGGGGCTTCAAGGAAGACCCTTCCCCAACAACAGGGAGACCAGGAGCTACTACGAGAGCCTCAACTGCCCAGCAGCTACGGAGGGTGGGGTCACGGTCTACCCCCCCCAATGCAGGGGACGAGGGGCGCTGCCTCCAAAGTCCGGGCAGGGGGGTCAAGGAAAAGCTTCAGGTGGTCAGTCTCAGACGCCGGTTCCGTGCAGAGTCCAGTCCGGCCGCCCCTCTGCGGCCAGCCGGGCCTCCCCGACCACCATCGAAGGGGGGGCCTGGGCCGGATCAGGGCCCCCCGCTGTAGGAGTAGTCGGCCTTGTTGTGCATCACCAGCTTGTTGTCCACAAAGTAGAAGCTGTCCGACTGGGTCTCGTAGGGGTGCAGGACCATCTCCTGGACTGGGGGGAGAAGCCGGGGGGAAGGGGGGGTCAGCGGGGCCGGCTGGCTTGGCCGGAGGACCCCCAAACCGCAGCGCCATTACGCAGCGACCCTCCCCGAGTCCCGTCCCCCCCCCGCCCTGCTTACTGAGGTCCTCGGAGAGCGGCGGGAACTCGTAGATGTGCTCACAGCTGTTCTTGCTGGTGGGGATGCAGAAGCCGAACTGGAAGTCGAAGCTCTTGAGCAGCTGATCCCGGAAGTAGTGCCTCTCGATCATGCGGAAGTTGCCGATGGGCTTCTCCCCCACGGTGAACTCCACCCTGGGGGGGGGAGGTTAAGGGAGGGAGGGAGAGAGGAAAGAAGGAAATAAGGGAAGGAGGGAGGAAAGAAGCAAAGGAGGGAGGGGAGAAAAAGAAGGGAGGGAGGGAGGGAGGGAGGAAGGAAGGTTAAAGGAAAGAGGGAGGAAGTAGGTTGAGGGAGGGAGGGAAGTAGGAAGGAAGGAAGGAAGGAAGGAAGGAAGGAAGGAAGAAGGGAGGAAGGAAGGAAGGAAGGAAGGAAGGTAGGAAGGAAGGAAGGAAGGAAGGAAGGAGGAAGGAAGGAAGGAAGGAAGGAAGGAAGAAGGAAGAAGGAAGAAGGGAGGAAGGAAGGAAGGAAGGAAGGAAGAAGGGAGGAAGGAAGGAAGGAAGGAAGGAAGAAGGAAGAAGGGAGGAAGGAAGGAAGGAAGGAGGGAGGGAGGGAGGAAGGAAGGAAAAAAGAAGGAAGAAGGGAGGAAGGAAAGTTTTTTTTATTATTATTATAGTTTTTATTAAGTAAACATTTAAAAACAGGTTGAACACAGTGTGACTTTTCTGGCTGTTATTTTGCCATACATACTACACCATATACCATATATCTTCCTAGTCATTGATCTTTTATACCATTTACATATTGCATTTTATACTATTTACATATTTATATATTTACATACATATTTACGTCTATTTATAACATAACTTGGGAGGAAGGAAAGTTTAGGGAAAGAGGGAGGGAGAGAGGAAACAAGGAAATAAGGGAAGGAGGGAGGGAAGAAGCAAAGGAGGGAGGGAGGGAGGAGAAAAGAAGGGAGGGAGGGAGGAAGGAAAGAAGGAAGGAAGAGCAAAGTTGTTATTCCCAACTCCCACCAAGCCAGGATTATCTCAGGGGCTGCCCCAAAGACGAGGGAGTCAAGCTATTCTCCAAGGCGCCTGAAGGCCGGACGAGAAGCAACGGATGGAAACTCATCAAGGAGAGAAGCAACCTGGAACTAAGGAGAAACTTCCTGACAGTTAGAACAATTAATCAGTGGAACTCCTTGCCTCCAGAAGTTGTGAATGCTCCAACACTGGAAGGTTTTAAGAAGAGACTGGGCAGCCACTTGTCTGAAATGGTATAGGGCTTCCTGCCTGAGCAGGGGGTTGGACTAGATGACCTCCAAGGTCCCTTCCAATTTTATTATTATTATTATTATTACCTCCCAGAGGTGCCAGCCAGTTTTGCTCATCCCATCCTAGGAGATCAGACCGTCTGGACCTTCCCTGGTAGAGATTAGCTGCGCGATACTCGCACTCAGAGCTGGAATTGGGCCCCTTTGCTGAGCTGAGCCGGCTGGGAAGGCAGCCGGTCCACAAAGCACTCTGGGAAATTCTCAGCCCTTCTCCTGACATTCATCCCTGGGTGCCAGCCAGCCACACAAAACATCGGCCCAGAATCCTCTGAGCCGGAAACACATTGTGGGGTGCACAGATTCTATCCGGGAATGATAGGAACTGTAGTCCGGCACTCCTGGAGGCCACCGTGACAGAAAAGTGGTGGGCGCTTCATCCCTGGAGGTTTTCAAGAAGAGGCTGGACAGCCATTTGCCTGGAAAGGTCTAGGATCTCCTGCTTGAGCAGGGGGTTGGACTGGATGACCTCTGAGGCTCTACACTTGCGAAATACTGGGCTGGGGCGGGGCCAAAATGCTTCTCTGCCATAAAAAAAACCAACAATTTATTGAACCTGGCCTCAACACTGGAAGAAGAGACTGGACAGCCATTTGTCTGAAATGCTATAGGGTTTCCTGCCTGCGCAGGGGGTTGGACTAGATGACCTCCAAGGTCCCTTCCAACATTATTATTGTTGTTTTGTTGTTGTTATTATTATTATTATTATTGATCATCGCACAGTCAGCCAGATGTTCAGATTGGATTTGGCATTTTTGTCTACCTATCGAGTCCTTACCCAGGACCTGGGATAGGCAGATGTGGATGTTTCATGTTATCACAGATCTCGTCGCAGGATGGAAGCAGCTCCTAGTAAGGCCGCCTTTTGCAATTGACTGATGGTGAATTTGTCAGTGCCGATGATGGTGTCCAAGTGGTGCTCCAGTTGTTTTGGGATTGCACCCAAGGTGCCTATTACTATTGGTACCACCCTTGCTTCCTTTTGCCACAGTCTTTCTATTTCTATTTGTAGGTCTTTGTATTTTGTGATCTTCTCCAGTTCTTTCTCGTCTATTCTGCTGTCTCCAGGCACTGCCACGTCCACTATATTATTATTATTATTGTTGTTGTTGTTATTATTATTATTATTATTATTATTATTATTATTATTATTATTATTATTATTATTATTAAACATTTATTATTTACATTTATTATTGTTGTTGCTTTGTTGTTTTGTTATTATTAATTACATTTATTTATTATTTTTATTATCATTATTATTATCATTATTATTTATTATTCATTTTTATTCATCATCATCATTATTATTACTACTACTTACGTGGCTCCAACCTGCCGCAACCGTAGAAACGCCGGCGTGAACTGGTAGCGCACAAACCGCCCGGCGTTTGGGTCAGCCTCCTTCTTTTCGCTGCGCTCACGTTCTGGGGGGGGGAGACAAGATAGAGCACCCCAGTTGCAGGAGGGCTGGGTGGTGCCCAAACTCTGCATTCCCACCCGGGGCTTCTTTCAAAAGCCGTCCTGGCCTTGGAGCCCTTGACGGGTTGTGCCCGACGGATCTGTACCCTGCCTGCAAAAGGCGATGCCCTGGCATGACGGGACTGGCACAGGTCTTGGCGGCCCCCAGAAGGAAGCCCAGCAGGGTTGAGTGAGGGCCTAAGACGGGGCTTGGCCACTTGAAGACTGGTGGACTTCAACTCCCAGAATTCCCCAGCCAATAATTCTATTCTATTCTGTAATTCTATTCTATTCTATATTCTATTCTATATTCTATTCTATATTCTATTGAATAGAATATAGAACAGAATACAGAATAGAATCTATTCTATATTCTATTCAATTCAATTCTATATTCTATTGTATTCCTTATTTTAATCCTATTCTATATTCTATATTCTATATTCTATTCTATTTCTATATTCTATTCTATTCCTTATTCTATTCCTTACTGTTCTATTCTATTCCATTCCTTATTTTTATTCTATTCTATTCTATATATTCTATTCTATATTCTATTCATTCTGAATTCTATTCTGAATTCTATTCTATATTCTATTCTATTCCTTATTCTATTCCTTATTCTATTCTATTCTATTCTATTCTATTCCTTATTTCTATTCTATTCTATTCTATTCTATTCTATTCTATTCTATTCTATTCTATCCTATCCTATCCTATCCTATCCTATCCTATCCTGTAATTCTATTCTATTCTATATTCTATAGAAAAAGTGGCTTATAACCAATCCTCACACTCGCAACGGTCACAGCCTCCCCACAGTCACGGGATCAAAATTTGGGCACTTGGCAACTGGCATGTACTTGTGACAGTTGCACTGTCTCTGGGTCACATGATCAGCATCGGTGGCTTCCCCAGACACGCAAAGCCAAGGGGAGAAGCTGGATTGTCTTAATGACCGTGTGACTCACTTAACAACTAGGGCCAAAAGGGCCATAACATTAGGCAGCACTCACTGAACACCCGCCTCACTTAGCAACACAAATTCTAGCCCCAATTTGTTCGTAATTCGAGGATTACCTGTACTGTGGATTTGCCTCTAATTTGAAACGGGTCTGGCGGAAGATCGAAAGTGGCCGCCATCAAAACGTGGCAAACAACCCGGGAGGGGGCTGTGGGGGGGGGAAGGAAAGGGGAAGGGGAGCACAGACAGGGTCCTCCCGCCTGCCGCAAAGTGGGGCGCACTCACCTGAGGCGGGGGGCTTGGTGATCTCAAAGAGGACCGTGCCAGATTCCATATCCCGAATCTTGAAGCGGGTGAAGTCGATCTTGTAAACGTTCTCCTCCGGGGTGCACAAATAATCTGCGGGAGGAAAAGCCGCCCTTCAAAATTACAGCGGCACTGAATAGAAATGGCTTAGGACCGGTCCTCACACTTACGTCCGTTGTAGCATCCTCACAGTCACGTGAGCAAAATTCGGGCAACCGGCAGGCATTTGCGAGGGTTGCAGCGTCCGGGGCTCACGCGGAAACTTTTGAAGTTTCAGGCGGGCCGGAACAAAACCACAATCGTAACTTGGGTGCGCCGCTTACTCTCCTGAGGAGCTGGAAGAGACTTCTGCATTGGGGGTTCAGGATACCGTCGCCCATAGGATACTATGGTCCAGGGGTCCTCAAACTTGGGCCCTTTAAGACTTGTGGACTTCAACTCCCAGAGCTGGCTGGGGAATTCTGGGAGTTGAAGTCCACAAGTCTTAAAGGGGCCAAGTTTGAGGATCCTGCCATAGCCCATCACATGTCTAAATAATTCTCTATCCCGTGGGAACCAAGGTCATTTCAAATTGTCAGATTGGGAAACGTAGCGCATGGCATAGTATTGGGGTGGGAAGTTTGACTTTGTAAATAGTGTAACTCTCTGCAGGGAATTTCAGACTTGGTTTCACTTTTGATCATGCCGATACCTTGTCATCAATAAACATGTTCTTTGAGGAAGCCTCTAGCCTCCGAGTTCTGTTTTATCTGGTTTCATCTCAAGACCCCAGTGAGGCCACACCTGGAATACTGCAGCTACGTTTGGTCACCGTATCACAAAAAAGATGTTGAGCGTTTGGAAAAAAATTCAAAGAAGAGCAACTAAGATGATTAAAAGCCTGGAGGCTAAAATGTACGAAGAACGGCTGCGGGACTTGGATTTGGCTAGTCTAAAGAAAAGAAGAAACAGGGGAGAGATGATAGCAGTATTCCAATATTTGAGGGGCTGACCCAAAGAAGAGGGGTCAAGTTATTCTCCAAAGCACCAAAGGGAAAGATGAGAAACAATGGATGGAAACTGATCAAGGAGAGAAGCAACCTGGAATTAAGGAGAAAGTTCCTAACAATGAGGACAATCAACCAGTGGAACAGCTTGCCACCAGAAATCGTGGGTGCTCCATCACTGGAGGTTTCTAAGAAGAGACTGGACGGCCACATGTCTGAGATAGTATAGGTTCTCCTGCTTGAGCCGGGGGCTGGACTAGAAGACCTCCAATGTCCCTTCCAGCTCTATTCTATTCTATTCTATTCTATTCTATTCTATTCTATTCTATTCTATTCTATTCCTTTCCATATACTTTCCATATTCTATTCTATTCTATTCTATTCTATTCTATTCTATTCTATTCTATTCTATTCTATTCTATTCCTTTCCATATACTTTCCATATACTTTCCATATTCCATTCCATTCCATTCCATTCCATTCCATTCCATTCTATTCTATTCTATTCATCTACTGAAACCATGATATATAGTTTTATTAGAAGTTAAGGGTATCGCATAGCCAGAACAGAGAATCACGCACCAACATCCCTAAAATCTACTTTTCCCTCTCTTAACTGGAGGGAACTGCCAGTTAAGAAGTTGTGGGTGCTGCTCCATCCCTGGAGGCTTTCAAGAAGAGATTGGACAGCCATTTGTCTAGAATGGTGTAGGATCTCCTGCTTGAGTGGGGGGCTGGACTAGAGGACCTCTAAGGTCCCTTCCAGTCTTAGGATTCTATGTTCCTCAACAGGAATCCGCAACCTCTGTTTCCATGGCATGCCAGAATCCGGGCCGCGCAAACAAGCGAAGCCCCTCTGCGGGATGCAGGCAGCATCAAAAGGTGGGAGGGGGCGAGAGGGGGCGGGGCTGCTGTTCTGTGAGATTAGCTCCACCTTGTCTGAAAGACGTGGCCTGGCCATCGAGTCCAGCCCTCTGGTCTTAGCATCCAGGATTAGTCCACTAAACCAGAGTGACCCCAGCTTAATGGGCTGCTCTCTCTTGGGTGGGCCTGCTGCTCCCGATCCTCAGCTGCCTCTGGACTAAGGGGCTTCTTTGTGCAATTCAGAGGCTGTTCGACTCCGGGCAGCTCACATGCCAGAAAGCAAGAATTGCAGGGACCCAGGTCTAGGTATTCACAAGAGCGAGAGAGAAGAAATAAGCCTTCTTTGTTGCAGAGTCTTGAGAGGGGGGGTGGATAGACAGAGAGAGGGAAAGAGAGAGACCAAGAGAAAGAGAGAGAGAGAAAGATACAGAGAGAGAAAGAGATAGAGGAGACAGAGAGAGAGAGAGAAAGAGGGAAAGAGACAGAGAGAGAGAGAGAGAGAGAGAGAGAGAGAGAGAGAGAGAGAGAGAGAGTGGGACAGAGAGATAGAAAGGGAAAGAGAGAGAGACCGAGAGAGAGAAAAAGAGAGGGACAGAGAGAAGAGATGGGGGGACAAAGAGAGAGGGAAAGAGAGACCAAGAGAGAGAGAAAGAGTGAGGGAGAGAGAGAGGGAGAGGGAGAGAGAGAGAGGGAGAGAAAGAGAGAGAGAAAGAAAGAGAGAGAGAGAGAGAGACTGAGAGAAACAGAGAGAGAGAGAGAGTGGGACAGAGAGATAGAAAGGGAAAGAGAGAGAGACCGAGAGAGAGAAAAAGAGAGGGACAGAGAGAGAGAAGAGATGGGGGGACAAAGAGAGAGGGAAAGAGAGACCAAGAGAGAGAGAAAGAGTGAGGGAGAGAGAGAGGGAGAGGGAGAGGGAGAGTGCGAGGGAGAGAAGGAGAGGGAGGGAGAGAGAGAGAAAGAAAGAGAGAAAGACAGAGACAGACAGAAAGAAAGAGAGAGAGAGAGAGAGTGCGCGAGGGAGAGGGAGAGAGGGAGAGGGAGAGGGAGGGAGAGAAAGAGAGAGAGAGAGAGAGAGAGAGAGAGAGAGAGACTGAGAGAAACAGAGAGAGAAAGAGAGACAGAGAAAGAGTGATAAAGAGAGAGGGAGAGGGAGGGAGAGAGAACCGGTGTCCAGATTGAGCTAAACTCTCAGGATCGCATTCAGATTCATCTGAGGCCATCCTGGGATTCCTTCGGGGGGGGGCTGCTTTAATGCTCCCCACCCCCACAAGCCAGGGGAGACAGAGAGACCCACAAACCTTTGGAGAATGGAAGCAAGCCGGCCCGTCCTTGTGGGCAAAGCTGCAGAAAGGCCTGCCAACGTGCTCTGTGCCCGCATCTGCGGGGGGGGGGG